GTTACCAGGTGAAGTAGTACAGATGTTATTGCATATATTTTCATAGATAATCAAGCAGAAGAATAGTTGTTAACTGCTTAGTCCAAAATTACACTGGTGTTACAGACAAAACTACAAAAAAGGCATTTGACTCTAACCCAGTTCTGTGTTTATCATTCTTTGGTCACAGCCAATCTGGTATTCCTCATTTGTTGACTTAATATCCTGAGTCATTTGCCATCCCCCACTAGGCATTAAGTCACTTGAATTGCTTTTCTTGAATCTACACATAGATAAGCTTTGTCTGCACAAAAAGGAAAAATGTGATAAACAATGTATGGTGTTTAATTTTGAGGTAACCTAGATCAGTTACAAAAAAACTTCAAATAAAAAAAAGAAAACAAAACAAACCCAAAAACCCCCCAAAAAAACAAAGCAAAAAACAGAAATAAAAATATTCATGCTACCTTTCAATTTAATCAGATTTAAAATATCTTCTCAGATCCAACCGTCACCCACTTTTCTGAAAGCTTTTTTCTAAAGCAGGAAAAGATAGATCTGGGTGAGCATTATTCTTCAGCAATTAGTAGCTGCAGAAAAAATGCAACTCTTGCCTAAGAGAGCAGACCTACTTCATGTGATAACCATTTCACTTCTCCCTTTTTTTAACAAGAATTTAGCTTTTTCAAGAAGCCCACAGCTATCTCACTAAAAAAAAATCCTAAATATTCTGTTTACATTAATAATGTTTAGAAAACATCTCTTCATGCACACATGCCCACAGCTATCTCACTAAAAAAAAATCCTAAATATTCTGTTTACATTAATAATGTTTAGAAAACATCTCTTCATGCACACATAAGCACAGGAGGACTCCAGTTCTTCTGTTTATATAATATAATAGACTTCTATACCATTCTGTATTTTCTAATGCACTGGAAACCTCACTTCTTGATTCCAGATGTCAACAACTTCCATAATGCCTCTTCTTCACTCCAGTAACTGAATTCCAGGCTCCTGCCAATGGGAGATCAGCCAGCTGAGGGAAAGCAGAGTACTGCATAAAAACATGAGGAGGAAAAAGCAGTGCATGCTTTTCAGTAAGGATGTGCACTGTAGTTTGGGCACACAGATCCCTCACACCAATGAAATGTCCATTGCTCAGTCCAGAGAAGGTTAGGTACAAGAAGGGTGTACATGCTTATACTCCTAAAAGCAAACAGCAGTTCCTGGATTAAACTTTCCACACAAAAGGAAACACTGCCATTTTGCAGTGGGTATCAGCCTGCATACAAATATCAAAGCCAATTCAAATAATTCAGAGAGGACCAGAGAGTAAGAGGAGATTGTGACCAGGAGGCTGGAGAGCCTGGCACAAGACATCCCTCACACTGATTCAGCTGCACTGTCCAGGCATCAGATAAGCAGAGAAAGGTTCTTCTTTTATATATATCAGGACAGTCCATTGTATTTGATGTATTTCCTCTGCAGAATAAAATTGAATTTCTTCAATCGAAAGTGTTTTAATCAGGCAGTGTGAATGAAAAGAGTCAAAATCCCTCCACCTGTAGTTTTTGAATGGATCCAACACTCTGACAATTAGCTGAGCACTACCCCAAAAATGTCTACATAGCCTTTAAGATCAGTCACTCATAATTGGGAATGCACAACACCAGCCAGCTATGAACCCGGAGATGTGTGCCACTCTTTAGCACAGCACCCACAGCCTGAAGCTGTAAGAATCACAGAATCATTAAGACAAGAAAAAGACTCCAAGATCACAGGGTTGTTCAGCCTGGAGAAGAGGAGGCTCAGGGGAGACATCCCCCTCTACAACTCCCTGACAGGAGGTTGGAGTCAGGTGGGGGTTGGTCTCTTCTCCCAGGCAAGCAGCAGGAGGACAAGAGGGCACAGACTCAAGCTCTGCTGGGGAAGGGTTAGGTTAGATATCAGGAAGAGATTTTTTATGGAGAGAGTGATCAGGCATTGGAATGTGCTGCCCAGGGAGGTGGTGGATTCACCGTCCCTGGAGGGTTTCAAAGCTGAGACTGGATGTGGCACTTAGTGCCATGGTCTAGTGACCACGGTAGGTGTTGTGGTTTAACCTCAGCCATCAGCCAGGAACCAGCAGCCGCTCACACTCCCTCCACCCCTCTCTTCCTCCCCTCAACCCGGAGGAATGGGGACGAGAAAAAAAAAAAGTAAAATATGTAGGTTGAGATAAGAACAGTTTAATAATAATAAAGAGCAGAATGAGCTAAAATGCTAATGGTAATAAAAAGAACAAAGCCAGTGATGCACAATACAGTTGCTCAGCCCCGTCCCTGCCCCCGGATCGGCCCTTCCTGCTTATAGACTGGGCATGACGTGCCATGGTGGGGAATATCCCTTTGGCTAGTTCAGCTCACCTGTCCCGGCTATGCTCCCTCCCAGTTTTCTTGTGTACCTTCTCACTGGCAGAGCGTAAGACACAAGAAAGAAAAATGTCCTTGATTTCGGATAAACACAACTTAGCAGAAACCAAAACATCACTGTATTATCACTCTGAATCCAAACCCTGCACTACACTAGCTACTGAGAAAATTAACTCCATCCCGGCTAAACCCAGCACGGTAGGGTTGGACTCGATGATCTTGGAGCTCTCTTCTAACCTGGTTGATTGTATCATTCTCTGATTCTGTGAAAGAGCTGCCCTGTCCCCGCGCTGTGACTGCCCGGGGAGCCTGCGATGCTGCGGACAGCAGGAGGAGGAGGAGGCAGGGGACAAAGGAGGCAGGAGCGGCCGCGCCGGAGCGACACTGCGGGAGGAGGGAGGGGTGGCCGCGGCGGCGCTGGGAGCTGAGCCCCCTCGGTCCCTCCGGGGGACACGGCGGCGCTCCCTGAGCCCCGGGCTCTGCCCTCGGGGGTGTGCATGGCCCTGTACAGCACTTCGCCTCTGTGGGCAGCAGAAAAACAGTCTTCGTGCTGCCGCGTCTGGTGCGTGGTGCGGGAGAAAAGTCCTTTCCTCCAGCTGTTTTGCTCTCAAGATCACAGTGCGGCAAGAAGAGGTGTTGGAAAACAAAGCTGACGGGGAAATTTAAGGATTAAGCAGCTGGAAACAAACCAGGAGCAAAGTAAGGATCGACCAGCTGAAAACAACCAGGAGCAAAGTAAGGATCGATCCTTACTTTGCTCCTTTCAGCCTGAAAACAAACTTTTCTTGCTTATCTTTTAGCTGGAGGGGTTTTCCTCTCTTTTTAACCAAAATGGTGTGTCGTGCAGTGTTAAAATGGTGGCTATGTGTTTGTCTCCTTAGCCAGGTGTCTAAATCTGTCACCATCCCTCTCTGTCTCCTGACTTTGCTCAGACAAAAGGCTCTCTGAGCATTTTTCCTGTAAACTTGCACCGTGGTGTGTCTGGGAGAAGCTGTTCTCTTCAATAACTTGGAAAGAAGGACAACCTGTTGATATCTGTGTGCTCATTCCTGGAGTCAAGGTCCGGAATGGGACAGATACATCATTTCTTTGCTGAAGGGATTTCCTCTTGGCTCTGCACCCACTCCCTCACCCTGAAAACACCAACCAGGCAATCCCATTTGGGAGCCCAAATATATGTCAGATCTGATGAGATTGGTGTAAAAATAAAGATATTTCAATTTTTATTGCTGAACTGGATATTAGGGGAGATGCTTTTGACCCCCTGGAGTTTTCTCTGGTGGAAAGAATCCTCCTCACCCTGACTGACCCCTCACCCAGCTCATGGTCACCCCCCCAAAATATGCCACCTTACCACCCAAATGCCATGAAGAAGATGACCCAAACCCTTCCCTACCCCTGTGTGAGAGGGTTTTCTCCTTTATTCTTCAAGCACAGTGTCATTAAACCAGGATTCCCATGCCCACAGCCTGAGGGGACACCCCACAGTCACCACTGGAGGGCTGAGGGGCTCAGCACCACTGCATCGCTGTGCCAGCCTGGGATGGAGCAGGCTGGAGACGATGTGCTCATGTGAGAGACATGTTTTGTCCCCTCAGGGTTGGGGTCTGGGGTAAAGGGCTCTGCTTTTTGCCATTCTGTGCCCATAGGAAGGACCTCTGGGGGGCTGTGTCAGGCAAAGCGTGTCAGATTATCCAGGTGTTACAGAAAGTGCTGCTGCAGCTGCCAGTTACCCAGGAAAATCCAAATAACTGAAATAAAGGCCTTACCAATATCATCTGTGTCCAAGCTACCCCTGAGTAACAGATTTTGATTCTTCTTCATCTTTGCTTTTTCTCTTTTTCTGCTCATTTTCTTCTCCTCCCTTCCTTCTCCCTTCCTTCTCTTTTCCTCTTTTCTTCTTTACTTCACCTTTTCTTCTTTTTTCCTTCTAATCCTGTTCTTTTCTCCTCCTTTTCCTTCTCTTTTCTTCTCTTTTTCTTATTTTCATCTCCTTTTCTCCTTATTTTCTCCTTCATTTCTCCCTCATTTCTTCTCCTTCTCTTCCTCTCCTTCTTCTCTTTTTTTATTCTTTTCCCCTTTTCCCTAAGAAAAGCTTCACAGCCTTGTCCCCCAAGAGCTGTTCATAGCAGTCACATTCCCAAAACTTAAGTCTAGACTTAACCCACCTCGGGTTCACCCTGTGCCTGAGTTTTCCTTTCCTTTTGGGCATCAAAAGAACTTTTGTGAGGGGAAAAAGTCCCATTTGGCTTTAGCTAAGCAGATTGAGATAGACAGTATTTGGAGATAAGACCAAGGCAGATGTTTATAGGACTCTCATCTTGAGGGTTTCTTGTGGAAAAATGTTCTTGTGAAAACATCCTGGAAAGGAGATATTGCATGAACCTGCACCGGGTTCATCCTGACAGAACAAAGCAGGAGACTTTCAAAAGGAGAGAAACGTATCTCCCTCAATATCCTCTAAATCCTCCTGCAGTATTAAAATTAGATGGGAAAAATGCATGTTCTGTTACATAAAGTTGACCCTTAATATACTAGAAAATTAAATTAGAAGATAAATATGCATCTTTTTCTCCACAGGTGCTGTTCCAATGTGCAGGAATATCCAGGGATTGAGGTAGTACACAGGTTTTGTTTGCTATTAAATTCCTGTCTCTGCTATCTGTCATTAAACAACACTTCCTGCAAGGGGAGGTCAGCAGCTTCCTGAGGTTTCTGCCTGCCTTTGGATTCAGAATCATTCAGCACTGGAAAAATGATACTTGTGATGAAAATTCAGGGATTTTAAAGTTTAGGGTCGTTATTTTTCCCCCAGGTGATGCTTGGATTTAGTGATTTTTATATCCAGTTCTCTCTCTGATATTTGAAAGATTCTCCCATGGAAAGATCATTAATGAGTCTGAAAATTAATGGCCAGCTGGGAAGAAGAGGCAGTAGATTCTCTTGTTTCTACACTGACCTTCACCTGCCTTTCAGAGCCCGTTTCTCAGCATCCAGGATGCTTTAGCTTCTTCCATTCTCAGCACAGCAATGGAAAACTCAGACTCCTCCAGTACTGGTACCAGTTCACCCAGTAGTGTCTCCTGTTCCAAATGTGAAATACATAGTGATCCCGAGGGAAAAAGTGGGAATGCTGCATTCTCTTGTTTCTACACTGACCTTCACCTGCCTTTCAGAGCCCGTTTCTCAGCATCCAGGATGCTTTAGCTTCTTCCATTCTCAGCACAGCAATGGAAAACTCAGACTCCTCCAGTACTGGTACCAGTTCACCCAGTAGTGTCTCCTGTTCCAAATGTGAAATACATAGTGATCCCGAGGGAAAAAGTGGGAATGCTGCTGGCACACATGGAAA